GGAGTGCTTTTGCAAGGTATGAGAAACTTTAAGAGCTAGCAATCATAAAAACACCCATTCTGATTTTTTTTTTACAAATCGCACAATTACCTTAAGATCAACTACATGTGCAAAGTAGCTATCACTCTATAAAAAGCTCCGAACAGCTATAAAGTTAGACCTTGAAAATGTGTACTAACTTTATAGCTGGTTGCTACTGAGGTTTAACATGCAAGTGTAGCAGGGTCTCCACTGTGGCTGGGAGCACCACCAGCTGATGGGGCTCCAAGTTGCATGGGTGTGCCATGACCAACCATGGGGGTAAGTGAAACTCTCAGGGCTGGGAAATCGTGGCAGCTGTGTTCCCTCAGGCCCAGGGGTTTTATACGCCCCCAAGCCTGAGAGAATGCAGCTTGCACAGTACCCCAGCTCTGGGGGACTGTGGGGTACCCTGCAGCTGGAAGCCCCCTCAACCAGCCATGGGAGCTTGCTTGCTTCTTGCTGGTGCAGGGGTTCCCCTTGCACTAGCAGTAAGGTGTGATGGATCAAATGTGCCATCTCAGTCATGCCTCCTGCCATGCAGACATGGCGACTGTGTGGATCATGCATTAGAGCCCATTGCATCATTACCTGCATGTGCAGAGGGGGCACTATAAACACCTATTTCTCCAGCCAAGCTGTATATCAGGGAACTGAAAAATTATAAAAGAAAAGCTCATGCATTTGAAACTTATTTGTTACAATGGGCTGGAGATGAGGTAGTATGATCTATAGCCATGAAAAAAAAACACACACTTTCATGACAGGGTTTAGGTCAATAACATTGGACCCCTTTTATTGACTGGAAGATTGCCTGGCAAAGGTATTGTTACTTTAAATTTTAGCTGGGATGGAAAATGAGATTATTGATCAGTGAGACTATTCCAGTCATACATTGAAAGCTTTATCAGGATACACTTAAGCACTAACTTATTTACAATAATAATTATAAAGCTCATGTAGCCTTGGAGTCGAGGGAAGTGGGGTCAGCTGGCCAGGTGTTGCTGCTTTCTTGGGGATTCACAATGGTCAAAGTTGCTCAGCAGAGTCTTGAGTGAGCCGATCTCTTGCAGCTATACAACTTTTTTTATACTTCTGGCTACATGCTGCTAGCCAAAAATGCCATTCCATATTTAGCGACCCAGTGTTGCAAAACACCAACCCTGCCTGGGAACCCAAAACTTGCTCAACTCAGTGACACGTGCTTGCACCAATAACCTGGCCAGGCAGGGCTTGCCAGGCCTACAATATCATAATGTGGATGTTCAGAATCCTGGGCCTGCATTGGACCACTTGTACTCCAATTAATGAACTGGTAATGCCTTGGATCAAATTTAAGGAATACCTTGGATCAAATTTAGCCCAAACATAAGCAGTAGTAATGGGGACCAGTGATATTATTACCCAAAGCAAGAAGAAATATGTTACTGCGCTGCTTAAGAGTCTCGCTCCTGATTCCACCTTGTTTCCCATCCCTAGCATGGCATACTAACCCTGGCACCGTGGCACAACTTTGCTAGACAACACATTGATTGGCAGTGGAGCCAAGGGCCATGCCCACACCAGTCCTGCCCATTCCTAAGCTGGTGGTGGAAAATGACATAATGTCCTCACAGAAGCTGCCTCCTTTTATCATCCTGCTACTTGTGATCTGAGTCGGTAGCAAGAGCATAAGAGGGCATAAGGTACTTGCCTACTGCCTTACACAACTGCACAATTTGGCCCACAATCTGGCATATTGAAGGCAACAGAAATTGTGCCTACTTATGCCAGGGTCATATTTGACAACTTTTAGTGTTATTTTTTTCTTTTGTTTTGAGGATAAGGTCAATTTGTTTCTCAAAATGATAGGTATTATGGTGGGACATACTGAGGGGTCATCTTTTACAAATTTTGTAGCAGTCGGTACTCCTGTTGACACTTGTACTGAATGTCTCTTTATTAAGGTGGAAGAAGCGATTTAATTAACTCCTTGAGTAGATCACAAGTAGAGTAATGAAAACTAACTACCTGGAGGAAATTTTCTTGCAGTCACTGAAGATCTTGTTCGACGACGTGCAGAGCATAACAACTGTGAAATTTTTTCACTGGAAGAAATCACCTTGCATCAACAGGAAATAGAGAAAATAGAATACCTTGATAAATGGTGCAGAGACTTAAAAATCCTCTATCTTCAAAATAATTTAATTCCAAAAATTGGTAAGTGTTTTTATTTTCATTCTGTTTTATATTTAAACTGAGTTACAGGTGTGATTGTGAGGTCAGAAAATGGCTATTAGGTTTTGAGTTTAAGGTAAAAAGAACAGCAGGAAAGAGGACGAGTGGTTAAATGACTTTGGGCTTGATCATGACCTCTGAGCATCTTCTGCCCAGGTTGAATTCATCAGCTGATATGGGCTCAGAATGTTACAGGTTTCAGCTCTAATATTAAAAAGCTATTTATGTAGTTAAATGCTATAGATCAAAGTTATCTTGCATTTTTACCTTTCTTGGAAAGAGAAAGTGAGTTTGTTACCCACTCTGAATTGTGGTATTAGAGAACTGGTCTCTCTACACTGATCCCTAGAAGTCCTCTACTTAAAGCACAGGCCTAAAAATAACTATTATGAGTCCTTAACTCCCCTAGGTGCTTCTTCTCTAGCAAGGGACCTTGTAATATGCTGGCACTTATAGCTTCCCTGAGAGTTTACTTTTACTATATATAAATGAAAAAAATGTTATTTCAATTAATTCTCAAAAGAAATCCTCACTTTATATCGGGGAGAAACTGTCATGTTCTTCTATATAAATACAGCCCTTTGATGATAGGTGGCAAAATTTTGCCTATCCTACAAGACATAAAACTTCACAAGGCCTGGGTATACAGAGAACCTGGATATACAGAGAAGTTGTATGATGATATAGCGTCAGATGTTTGGCCAGGCACATCATAGATAAATATAAGGTGAGGTTCTTGTCTGGAAAAGCCTAGACTGTACAGTGATGAAGGATGAGGGAATGAGAAGCACCAAAAGTAAGCGGCTGAGCGGTGATATTGATGTCATGTAAACTACCTTTGCCCCTCATTTTAAAAAGGAAAATTTTCAGGTGAATAAATGATTTGCTGATCTCACAGGCAAGGGAAGAGGGGACTGTGAGGGAGGTGTAAGGTGCCTTTAACACTTGTACTCTCCCCTGTCCAGAGTCGCTCTAGTGGCAGGAGAGGTTTCCAGTGTAAGCCTGGGTACTTTCCCAGGTTGTCCCAAGGGTGACTGTGCTCTGTGTGGCGGCGCTACACCAGACCTACCACCCTCAGCTTCACCCTGGGTGCCTCTGATGCCAGGGAGTCTTAGGAAGGCAGACTTAGAGGTGTCTTCTGTAGGGCTTGCACTGGGGAAAGTAGGGGAGTGGGTGCTCTTTTATACTGCTTCAGCCCAGTGATGCCTACAGTTTTGGCCCATAGCCCATGGACAAATGAATGGCATGGGACCCATCTGTGGGGCCAGATCAGCTCCTGCTTGCCTGGGATCAGGCCCTGGGTACCCCACCCACCTGGGGGCCCCACACTGGCCCCCATGTGCTGGGATCAGGCCCTGTGCCATCCTGCATGCCTAATCTAGTGCACAGAGCCATGGCCTGCAGGGCTCCCCACAGATCCATGGGGAGCCTGACAAGCCAGATGACATGGTGTTGAGGGCTGGATCTGGCCGCTGGCCAGGGCTTGAACACCTCTGCTTCAGCCCATCCAGGAGGGCCATAGCAGGGGTGGTTGTGGTGATATTTTCACCTTCTCCGTTGCTGTCCCCCACACCTGTAAGGATTTATCTCGTTCTTCTGATAGCCCTCACATCCCTGGAAGGTTACTGTGGAATAATCCTTCAATTAATCCTTCCGTTCACAGCAGCTCACTGCAGTGATCTCATTTTTAATAAGATGCAGATTTATTCCTTAATTAATCTAAACAACTCAGAGCTAGAAATGCATGAGACTTCCAGGAATAGCTGCCACCATAGTGCATCTGACTACCAGGCAGAGCACCTGCATATCACTTGAGAGATGCAATGCCACATGACTACTGATCAAAATAAGCAGTCTACCCAACACCTAAAATATACGATAATCTGGTCAGTTCTCAGTAAATCTATGTTCCTAGCCTGACAGCTTGCCAAATACCATACTATTTACAATCTCCCTTTTCTATGCAAAATTGTCAGAACTATTTATGAAAATCCAGCAGGCTCGAATAACGTAGCTGGTAAACTCCTAAGCGCTGTAGCTATTAGTTCTGGTTCTCTTCTTTTCAACACATGTATGGAAACAGCCATAAGATACCCCTGGCTCAAATGCTGACAGTCTGTGGATAGCTCCCAGCTGTGCACGTCCACAGGGGGTGCAGAGACTCCTGTCAGTTATCAGACTACCTGCAAGAGAGAAGCTGCAGCTCAGACTGGCAGGCTCAAGAAAGCCATTCAGAAAGCTAGCTGGGAAACTGTTTTCACCCTGGAGGGATAGCATCTGGGATGACAACAAAATGGCATCTTCCTAGGGTCCTATGAGACTTACTGCCTCATCAAGGGAGATATGCATGGCAGCTAAATGGCTCAGCCTTCATAATTTCAGACATTATCAGACTGATTTTTGTGACTTTACTGGATACAGTATTTACTGTAAGTTGTGGTCCTTTACCATGTTGCAGATTTTTACTATATATTTCATACATCTTGCCTTGGCCTGCAATTTGTTTCCTTTCTTCCTTCTGGAATTGATGAAGTTCTCTACTTTTTCCTCTTTCCCTCTCTTGTTTTCTGGTATTACCACTTTTAATTGTTTCCTGCAAACAAAGATTTCTAGACATTGTTATACAGTGAAGACCCATTTGGATGATTTTCCTGTTGCAGTTGTTTTGTGGTGGGAAAAGAATCTTATGTTCTGGTTCCCAGACTGTTAAAGTAACTTGTGGCTGTGAAAGTCCTCATTTCTGGGATGTTCAGCATGGGAAGAAGGGTTTTTAGAATGCATTTTTCCTTGACTGACAGTTTTATACTGTTTTGCATTTAACCCACAGAATAAGCAACCCATAAGTAATAAAACTGCTAGATTTGTTGAGTTAATCTTTTCTGGTTTAACTGGTTTTATCACCAGAATTTCACCACTGAAGATTTGTCTTAGTGTCTCATAAAATATACATGTACGTGTGTGTGTGTGTGTGTGTACACACACACACACACACACACACACGGGCTATGCAATTTGATTTGGTTGCTGATTCGAGTCGGAGGAGATTTGGCCTGACTCAGTGGCCGAATCTCCAAATCTGAATCGAACTGGGAGACCCCATCAGGAGATTCAATTTGGAGAAATTTAACAATTCAGCCATAGACACAGCTTTATGTGTTTTTTCTACATACCTCGAGGTACCAGGCATGGCTCGTGAACACTGAAATGGCGGAGCGAATGGAGCATCCCACGGGAGTGTGGGGGGCACCCCCTAACCCTCCTTCCGTGGCTCAGCGACTGGTGCCTCCTGGGTCTGGGTGGATACTTGGGGTCCCTTTGTGGCTGATTGCCAAGCTGGGGGAGCATGGTGGGGGGTCCCTCCCATGCTCAGTGGTGGATCCCCTCGCACTCTCCTGGGACACTCCATCAGCCCCACCATCTCAGTGTTCACGAGCTGTGCCCTGTACCTTGATGCACGTAGAAAAAACATATAAAGCTGTGTCTATGGCTGAATTGCTGATTCCCCAAATCAGAATCGAATCTTCAGGTTCAGATTCAGCTCAATCAAATTGGGACAGTGATCTGAATCAATTAATCGAATCACTGTCCCCCGAGTCGGGCCAAATCCAAATCCATTTCAAATACTGCCTGCTTTGCACACTCCTAACACACACATGCACACACAAACAGTTTTTTTTTCTTCACTTACCCATTTCTCCCATATTGCAAAAATCTATCAAGGATAATTCTTGAACATAATATCTACTATGTCCATTTGTGTCTCAAAAGAAGCAACTGAACATATTCTCTTGTGCCCTTTGTGTTATACTGATTTAACAGCTTCCTGTCCAGCAAACTTCTTCCCAGGATTAATATACAAAAACACTCTCTGATACTGTTCTCTTCCATGAGCTCCTTTCAGAGAGCATCTCTCCTACAAATACTATGCTTAGTGAAATGCAGTAGTCTTTGGTTTGAAAAGGATAGGTTAGGTAATATAAATAACTTACAAGGATTACACAGTGCCTCACTGCAGATAAAGGCTGAAGGGGGCTGCTACCAGTTGTCACACATCTAAATGGGACACAATTTGGAATCAAAGACAGAATATTCTTAGATATAGCACTAAAATTTTGTGCTGTATACAAAAAACAACCTGCCAGTATGATATGCATCCAAGCTGTCAATGGTCTGGACAAAGGAATGCCGTACTTCTAATTCTCCCTCTGGTTTCCATTTCATCTGTTCAGAACTAAACTCCTTTCTGAACATCTGTCTGGGCAAATGCCTAGATTTGGATCTCAACTACCTTCCTTCACCTCCTGGAACCCTGCAGTTCCAGCCGTACATATTCAGACTTGTTCTTTCCTCTTGATTCTGCAAGATGCACCAGAATGTAATTTCCACTTCTTTCTCCATGACAGGCCTCCATGCAACATGTAAAATAAGCTGTCCGTTCCCAAGCTTGTTTGGTTAAGTTTTAGAACCACACAATCATCATACCTTGCAGAAGCCTTAAAGATGCCTTGTGGGTTACAGGATCCTCCTTGGATAAAGAATGTAACTTCTACATTTTGACAAGATCACAAAGCATTGCAACAAGACAACTCATAAATGAAATTATCATTAGACTTTTAAGATTTGCTTTCAAGGGAAGTATGCATTCTGTGGGATTCATTTTCAGTCTGATGGTAGAAAAGCAGCCTAGTTCAAGATGGACTCTAGTCTTTAGCATTACTTACTTATTTTTTAATGAAAAAAATCATTCAGGAGTTTCTAGTGTCCTCCCATCTATCCCTCAGTATTACATATCAAACAAAGAACCCTGAGACCTTCCGGTGAAGCCAGCAGACAGTTGAAATGCCACAAAGTGGAAAAGCAGATTTTTAACAGTTTGTCTTCATGTTGTTTTATCAGCAAAACCTAAATAGCCAGACTGGTTATATTACTTCTGGAGTCAGGGCTAGGAATAATTTACAAACAATTTTCATTCTTTCAGGTATTTTAATTCTCTAAGTTTCTTACATTAATTCTGCAAAACCTTACAGAAGAAAAGTATCCTGAAAAGGAAAGATGTGTGGGTTAAGGGAACGAATCATTTTTCACTAAAGGAAACTGTTAAAATTTTCACCAATTCCAGAAAACAGGGCAAGACAATATGGATCTGATCCATATCTTCTTGAATGGAATGTCTCAACAGATATTTGGACCACGCTTTTAGTTTCTGGATGATTAAGCAGCTAATTGGTGACTAGCTGTCTCTGTTCATTGTCTTTCCTATTTACTTTTTATGTTCAGTCTTCAGTGTGTTTTGTTTTCCATCCAAGGGTCGTTATTTCAAGTGCATTAAAAAGTGAATATTAGTTGTATGTTAATGCTGCTGTATATTATATTTATAATATTCAATAGTTATTCTATACTGCATTTACCTTTTAGTATTTAATTTATGAAAGTAAGTAAATGAACATACAATTTAAAAATGATTATAGTATTCCTGACAAATAGAATCAAAGTTATATTTGTATTTGTTACAGAAAATGTTAGCAAACTAAAGAAGCTTGAATATTTAAATTTAGCTTTGAACAACATTGAAAAGATTGAAAATTTGGAAGGTAAGATTTTTTAAAATATATATTTTGGGGGGGTTTTTTATATGGGAATACTGGGATGGATAATTAAAGATAAGG